GTTTGTGTGCATTTGGTTGATTTATGATCTGGATTAGAGCGATCTATCTGTGATGGGATTCGTTGTTTGATGGGACTCATCAGTAAAGCGTTATACACTTTCGTGTTTTCGAGCTGCGAGCTCCTCCCTCTCTTATCCTTGATTCAAATGAGTTTTCTCCACAGTTTCATAATGCCTAATTCTATGGGAGTTGTTTTTTGATGTGCTATGATATGTCAACGTGTCGCTAGAATGGAGTCATTTGCCACAAAGACAGGCATTTCAGGGGAGGGGTGAATAGTTCTCATCCGAAAACAAGTACTGAGGAAGGATTGGAATCGTTCACTTTTGTATTGCTGATCAGCTGTTCCCCCTCGCCCCCCCCCACACACACACATACTCGGTGATTCCGCCTAGTGGTTTTTGTAGCAACTCAGTTGCATTTAACTACTCGTCAATCTGAATTTTTGATATTTCTCCAAATTGTTGAATAGATCACTACAACAAACGGCTTTCACAAGTTCACTACTAGTCTGATCCAACCCATGTGTTTCCCCCTCTCAATCTCGCACATTGCTCGCCGATTACTGTTGGCAGCTCAATGCATTTGAGCGCTACTTTTTGTAGAGTATACTCTTTTTTATTACACACCAGTGTGTGATGAACAGCAGACGGGGTGGACCCCATAGTCCCGAGGACCTGCTGCTGTTCAGTGATGGAAATTGGTAACCTAAGCTATATGAGCTCCCTCTAGGTTAGGCGTGGTATTGGACCGGACAACAGCAAAGCTGCCTAACACCAAAGATGAGTGGCGGTGGCGAGGCTGGAACCTCGGACCATAGGGTCCTGTGATTGACTAAATCACTGCGCCACCACCACTCGGGAAGATGCAATGTTGTATAGATACAAACTCTCCATTGCGATGTTAACCTGTNAATCAGGCTGATCCCAAATAAACGGTAGCTTTTTTGAGTCTACCACGAATATGGTTGTTTTAAACCCAACTGAACCATCTGCTGCACAACTGTGTGATGATTAAACTAGCGTTGTGTGCGCGTATTAAATGTGTCGAATCTACTTCCGCAAGACCAAAACAAAATGACCCCCACGGAATTTTTTTTCTTCGATTTCACAAACTCAGATGTTACACGTATTATTATAATTAATTATAATAATAATTTATTTATTTATCAAAATAACTCATAGGCATGATACATGTACTGTACCTACATCGTTTCAGTGTTCTACTAGCCTCTCTGCTTCTCAGCTGTAACTTTCAAACTACCGGAAATTGTATCGCGACGCTCAAGGTCGCGGGCGAATTCAACCGCTGCGAGAAAAGAACTAAGAAAATTTCAGTTGGAGAGATAAATTTCGAAATCAATACACTTCACCCATAACTCTTAATATGCACGTATGATATGGGAAATTGAAATGCAATTCCAAGAAGAGAGTCATGTTACACATGTTTGATCCGCACCTGCATATTTATCACCGGCTTACGGACATGCGTGGTGACAACGCCACAATAGTAATAACACCAGAAACAGGGGATGGGTGGATTGGGAAACAGAACGGTGTGTGAAGGCGGCTAAACAACTATAATAGAAAATTGTGAATAACAGCAATAACAACAGGATTTTGTGTTAGTTTATCGTTAGTTTTTACGGGGTACGGAATTTCAACTGTGCCCATTTGATTTGCTAACAGCTGATCAGTTTGATCACACTTTGTGCTCTGCCTGTACTCTAAAAGCAACCATCCAATCCGCCACTACCATCACCCCCGTTCCGCGCAGATAGACTTGTTTCTTGTGTCTGNCTCCCGCGTGCACACACGTGTGTGTGCTCTTCTCAGCACATTTTTCACGGTCTATTTGAGAATGCATTAACAGTGTGTGTGTGTGTGTGTGTGTGTGTGTGTGCATAATGGGTCCAATCAGATGAGCAATAATTACGCGGAGATAACCAATCTGAGTGATTTGCGATTGGCGTTTTCTGTGGATTGGTGATGATGACACAGGAAACGCTGATTGGTTGAATTTATAAATTGGGCTTCTTCGAATCCACAACCAGAAAACAATAAACGATCATTGATTCCAACCCGCGATGGTTAAGTTAGGGAAAAAACGGCCGTATCTCAAGCGTGATCGTGAGTCATCCCGTCCACACCGAGCACAAGATCAAACCGGAGAAAGTCGTCTATGTTACCGCATCCCACTCAATCGATCGTGGGCGGCCCGAGTTTGGGAAACTAGCTATGGCCGAGGCGATCGCCATTCGCTTACTTGGCCCCAACCTGTGTGCCCAAAAACGACTGGTGCAGGCGCTCCAATTGCCTTGGCCGTGTGTGAAAACCAAGAAAGAACATGACGTGTCATTTGACCCAAGTGGGAAAAGGTCACATCAGCTAACGCGTGGAGCATTCTTACACGCACACATACACATCGTTTACTCTCTGTTTCCGATTAATGACCTTAAGCTGAGCCAATCTTTGTATGGTTATATGAGCATTTTTTCACTACATGATATGTAAAATTATGGCTAGAAATATCCGAAAACAATTGTGCATTAACTGACTTGTTTTCTCAATGCAAGAATAAATTAAACAGATTTTCTGAAATTGTTTTTTTTTCACTTGAACAACAAACCTTGATCGAATTCCGTCATCCGTGGGGTGGGATCCTCCTGATTCTTGAGGTTTCGTTTAGATAACAATCACAACAGTGTCTGTTTTCTTTGTATGGCTGGAAGCTAACAACCGGAAAGGAGTGTTGGCTATATTATTGAATTCTTTCAAGCTCTGTTCTCACCCTAAGCCTCATTGGCCTGTTCACATCAGTGATCGATACACGTCACATGATGTTGTTGTTGTTGGTGTATGTTCTCCGATAGCTGGAAGTGCGTTGTTTGCAGACGTTTCGCGAGCCAGACAGGATAGCATCATCAGTGGAACGCTGGGGAGCCACGGGTGATGTTGCCTAGTCTGGCTCGTGAAACGTCTGCGAACAACAAACCTACAGCTCTCTGAGAACACACTAACACCAACATCCGCATTTCGAACTACAATCATTCCAATACATTAGTCTTTTTTCTCTCCAGATGCAAAATCCATCTATCCAATGAGGTTCCAGATCACAAAATACGCCTCCCTCAGTGCTTCGTCAATTAACTAGGTGCTAAGAAGACAAATTTAGCGAGGCCAATCGATAAGGAAGTAGCCACCGTCACTGAGTTTCATCGACATTAATTCAGGGAATATTAGGTGCTTGTGAGAGTTTTTTGGAATTCCTTGCATGATCAATGGGGTGGGGCGTGGGGGTAAACTGCTTTTGCGGCTAGCCGAGAATCTTGAACCACGTATACGGTGATATCAATTTGAGCATGTTCACATGTGCCTCTGGACAATCGAATGGGCTAATCCAAACTTGATACTTTAAAATTGTTTGATCCATTTGCACAAGATAATGACCGTCGACCGTATAGCTCAGGGGTAAGGGTTTGAAGTCCCGACCCGAATATCCACGGTTCCAGTCCTGACAGGGACACAAAAAGTACGCCCTGCTGACGAGTTCCCCAAACAGGATGAAACCAGTGCTCGTTGCCTCGGTCATCACAACGGTTTCCATCGCATTTATATGCATTCGACTAGAGGAAAATTAACGATTGGCCAAGGAAAGAAACCCCCACCCGAGACCATCAAGAGTGCCTGGTGTCTTTGAACAATTGAATGAGCTAATCCGAACTTGATACTTTAAAATGTTCACATATTGTTTGTGGGAATACAAATGTATCTTTAATAGGCCTGCACACAACTGTTTTCCTTATCCCCATGGAGACCGATCCATCAGTGAGGCTTTGCGTGGCCTGGTCGTGACTCTAGCGCTTCCCGCTGAGCTACAACGTCGACGATCGAGACCGGAAAAATGTGTGACTATATTAATCCGACACGCTCTCTTCTGATCCGCGCTCCGAACCCGGATGTTTGTGATTCAAATCCAACCGGAGAAGATACAAAATGTACGCATAGCTGGCGCGTTGTAACCGAAGTTCAGTTTTTACAATCATGAATCATGAACTCTCGTGCGCCGGTTTTGGTAACCGTCTTTTTGCGGCCCGTCTGGATAAAAGAGAAGAATGAAGATGGAAATTTTGAAAGCCAATTTAAGTGGAAGATCGAAAATTCATATAGACTGATGTTGCAAGAATAAAGAGTAGATGCATGAGCCCCGCTGTTTGCTATACCCAACCATATCGGTGATCATGATCTCAGGGTCTCTAGCCAGGGAGCCTACCGGGACCTTTGTCACCCAGTCTCTTGGTTAGGGTGGGCCACAGGAGCAAAACATCAGCCCCTGTCCCGTTCATTACACGAATTTCTATGTAAAACCTTTCTTTCCATGTCCGTCAACTTTGGCAGTTTCAAATTCAGCCGTGTCTCCTCAAGCCCGCTGGACGAATTGGTTGGTAACTAGCCTGTACCAACGTCATTTGAGAGTATGTGAAAAGTTTGCACAAAAGAGTCGACTCCACACACACACACATTGCACACAAACTTATTTTCCTGTCATTCTAATCCCCGCCAAGTAGATCCCATGATCGCTGTGTTCCCTCTCGCATAAGCATATATCGTACGACGCCCTCTAGTTAACGAAGAGCCGGTTTTCACAGACTTTGTTAAAAGTTTCACGACCTAAATTATTTTTCTCTGCCGTGTACACTTTTGACTGAAATTTAGGCTTTAGGCCTACGGAAGTCATAATTACAATTACAATGAAACACAATACAACCCTTCAAAATGATCTATAGTGTTGAAATTTCCAGACCGTTTTGCATCATACTATAGTTGGTGGAATAAGTTACTCATTAGTCCATAGATTACCTGATCCCGTCACACTTTTTCTTCGATAACCGTTATTCTCCGTTGATTTCGCCCCATTCCCCGACTCTCCTCCATCCTTACTGCCACAATTCACCTCCACCCCACCCCCTCTCACTTATGCCGCCACACAGTCCTGGACCATGACATTACATCCGCAAAAGGAATCCGATCTGGCTGTGCTGGATCCGCGTGCCCCGACCGACACCTGTTTGCCCGGGTTGCACGCGTTCCGAGAACGCGTACGGATCCGGTGTACGGCCGTGCACAGTCCGACTCGAACCAACAACGGACTGGTCGGTCTGAATCGGGTCAGCTGTCAACCGAATCACGGCTCGGATCAGGCACTTGTACAACAAACTTTGCTCTACGAGGCACAAATTGGTTATCCGGCTCAGTCGTCCGGACTCCAATCCAGTTGGACAGCCTCCTCCGACTTCGGCGTGGACGAGTGTGGACTGAAAGGCAAACAGCTGGATGCGTGTGTTTACGTTCTCTGTCCAGGTGAGTTCCACGACTGCTACCGGTTATACGAAGTGGGGTTGGGTTGCGAATTGAGCAACTGACACATTTCGGGATAAATTATCTCAATCTAAAAGTGTGTTTACACTGGCTCTTTCGATAAGTGTGTTTCTGAACGCGCGCGCGCGCGCGGAGAGGATGGGACTTTTTTCTTTTTGTTTACCTGTCACCGTTTTGTTTCAAACTCGGCACTCAAACCCCGTGACCGAAGGTCAGTGTTGTTGTTGACATTTGGTGTAACTTTGCCGCAACGCCGCCCTAATGCAAGCAGACAATTTGACAGTAGGAGTGTGTGCGTGTGTGTGTGTGTATACGTTGTCAATGAGTTGTCAGTGCAGGAAGACTTTCATTCTTGCTTTTGTTCCTTAGAGCGTCGTTGATTCACCACCACTCGGGATGAAACTGCCTGAATTGATTGAAGATCGCTAAATGAATGCAGTCATTTATAGGCAAATTAAAATAAATCTGTCCAATTAGATGCGATGGAGATCGTTGTGATAACCGACAAAGTACGCACCGAGACAGTTGTTTCGTCCTGTTTTTTGCACTCGTCAGCAGTGCGTACATTTTTTGAGTCCCTATCAGGACTCGAACCACGAACCTTCGGGTTGGAACTTCTAACCCCTACGCCTGAGCTACATGGTGGACGGTCATCAGCTTGTGCGAATGGCTCAATCAATTTTTAGAGTATCAAGCCTCTGCTGAAGAAGCCCTACTCACTACCTTCTCGTGGCAGAGGTGTTTCACACCAAGGAGAGATGACGAAAAGCCGACATCCGGGGCTATTACCGGGTCGGTGGACCACTGGTAGTTCACCTCGGGGAGTTGGACAAAAACCCTGGTTCCAAATCAACCAAGAAGAGGCGTACAAACCACGCACACAACTTCCGGGTTGTGGCAGTGGTTACTGGCTGGATTAGGCAGCAGGGTGTCTTGGGCACCCTGTACGTTTGACTCCGTCCAAAGGGTGTATGATCCGAGGAACTGGACACCGGCCCCCAATGGATAGCGATTTTCACTCACTGCCCCGCTGCGTTGTGGATCAGGCTTTGGCTAACCAAGGGCTCCGGTAGTGGATTCCTCAAGAAAATTAACCTGCGTTGGCCTGGGAAACCTAGCAGCATTCCTCCCAAATTCAAATCATGGAACTTTTTTTCTTTTTTCATAAAGACTATTATACCCTGAGTTTGTTTGGCACAATCTGGATTCAGACGTGTATGAAAATATAACTACACATTTATATACCCCTGGGTCCGCATCCAGAATACCTGTCTCCTGGTTAGGGTTTCCATTCCCTATTGCCAGGTCTGAGTTTGATCACCCTTTACTTTTTTCCGCTCAAAGTCTACTTCGTCAAACAGCCAGTGTTGATATGCTCAACATACGCTCAAACCAACGCAGTCTGTAGAGGTCGGCCACTTGCTTCAGTGAACGCCAGCGGTTACCTGAAACTATGCGCCTACGTCCGCAAAGCTCGTCTGGCTGCCTTACCAGATTCGTGCCATGCGACGTAGACAGCGGTGTTCGAACACCGATAGTCTACCTGTATCCTGTTCGTTTAATGGTCAAGTTTCTGTTCCGTAAAGCAGAACTGGCCGAACTGCTGCAGCATACACTCGACACTCTACGGAGAGCTGGATGTCGGGGCGGCGTCACAGATGTCTTAAGTTGGAAAGTGTCAATCGATCCTTCTGTACGAGAGCTTATACTTCATCCACGACGCGTCCACCGGGTGAGATGTAGCTGCCCAAATAAGAAACCTATCCACTAAATAGAAACGGAGAGAGGGCACTCCTGACGAAGACCACTTTCCTTGGTGAACTCGGGCGAAAAAGCGCCGGCTTCGGCTATTAGTATAAAGCGATTGTAATATTGAAATTAACTTCTCGGGCACACACTTTAGAGTTAGGCAGCGCCAGAGTTAAGAGCGATCGACTGAGTCGAAAGCCGCTTTCAGATGGTGGAAGATAGAAGTGGTGGGTCTACGAAAGAAGTGTCTGTGTTCTAGAATTTGACGAGGAGTGAATGTGGTCGATACAACCTCGACCAGGTTCAAAATCAGCCTGGTTCTCACAGGTACACTCTTAACGTGCGGCAGACAATCGATGGAGTATAATACCGGTGAGAAGTTTAGAGATAATTTTGGTTAAACTAATTCCTCTGTGGTTTTAACAAGAGAATCTGTCCCCTTTCTTGTTAATCGGTATGATCACCGACCCACACCATCCAGTTGGAACCTACTCACTTTCCCATATTGAGCCCAGGAGTTTCGCCAACTCCAAAACAAACACTGGCCTCCATAATTACATGCCGATGGGGACAGCCCGTCTGCACCGAAAGCCTTGTACCGTTTCAAATAACTCATTTCCCCGGAAACTCCCCTTTTAGATGGAGGATTGGTATCAATCGGGAGTATTTTTCCAGTC